TAAAAAAAATAATAGTAGCAATATAAATAATTTATAAGATTTTAGGTTAATTGTAATATTGTCCTACATGTTACTTGAAACCATAAATGATACATGGTGAGTAATATAACTGCCATTATTATTTCTCTTGACTCATGAGCTTTTCCTGTATCAAAATCACTGTGCCATAAATGTGACTTCAATATATATTGCCTTAAAGAATTTGATGTCTTGTTAACATCTCATAGAGCATATATCTTATAAATGGAATTATTATCCCATGAAATATTTAGTTTCTGTATTTTCTAGAAAAACACTAGATGTGCAGTAGATATTTATAAAATTATAAACAAAATCTAATTTAAATGCCAAAACGTAATTTCTAGAAGTCTTTTGTTCCCAGGAAAGTAATGCTGCCTATTTAGCAAGAGATACATTATTATCTTTTCTTTTTGCAGAGTTTTAAGTACCCAAAGTAACAAAGATAATGTTTCTCTTCAGAGCAAGCACTTTGGGACCAATTGTACTGACAAACAATGCATTCTCTTGGGGTCCTGATCCTGGAGGGATTAATGTTGGCTTTGTTGCCGTCTCCAGGAACAAAGGCTAAATTGATGCTTGAAAGAAGTGGTCCCAGAGAAACTATGTGAAGAAATTACAAGAGAAACTCAAACAAAAGCCATTATCAGGCTAAAGGAGATGAAAATAAGGTTGAATTGAATAATTTTGATTGCATAGACTTCAAATGACATGTGCAAGCTTTGTCCCAAATCTATCATGAAGGTAGCCTTAGGTTTATATCAGCATGATAAAACATTAATAATTTAATTTGAAGCTTCTATTAATTTGTTCAGTGCATTTCTTAACTATATACATTCTCTTCTCTTTTTCACACTGTACCTTAGGGATCTTCATTCCTAATTTTCTTAATTATTCAAATAGTAATCACAATGATACAGTGAGCTCTGTGACATCAAACTGGATTTGATGTATTTATAAGGGAAGAAGTTAATTTCACAAGCAGTGCTGGAGAAAATGTTGTGGGGTACAATTTATAAATAGTTAAAGGGTGCACAATTTTGTGTTATTGACCCTTTGGAAACTTCATGATAAAAAGAGTACAAATAAATCTAGAGTATAAATAGTTTATAAATAGTTGACCTTTATCAAACATGTGTCCTTTCCTTAAGAAGCAATTCTTTAATAAATTGTTATTTCATATCGTTTTGCTTACAAAGTTCATATATGCTGTGTTTCACACCGTCCTTCATTCACTTTGTATTTCTTAGGTTCATTCTCATTCATTATGTTTTATGAAACAAACCAACATTGAACTATGCCCACCATTGTCCTGCCTTGCCAGATCTCCACCAGATTGTTCCCATTTCCTTTACGCACCCCTCCTACTACTCATCAAATTGTGCGACACTATGATTTCTCCGCGCCCATCCTCATATCTCTGCTCCTACTCTCCCTCCCATGGATCCTCACACACATTTTCCTAGTTAGCTTTCTATTTCTACAATAATCATTTTATACAGCAATTATTCTTATGAGATAATTCACTCAACATAATGTTCTCTAGTCCCTCCCAAGTTATGTAATAATTTTTGAACTCATTGCTCTTGAGTGCTGCATAGAAGTACATTATGTGACTGTACCACAATTTCTCAATCCATTTGGTTGTGGTTGGACAATTGGGCTGTTTCCATGTTCCTGTGATGGTAAATAATGCTGCTACGAACATTTCTGTACAAATTTGGATGACTAACAGATGCATGAAGAGATGCTCCAAATCACTGACAACAAGAGAGATGCAAATAAAAACAACAATGAGATATCATTGCCCAATAGCGGTGGCAAGTTTAACAGGACAGCAAGCAATAAATTTTGGAGAGGATGTGGAGAGATAGGAGCTCTCACATTGTTTGTGGGATTGTAAAATGGTACAACCACTCTGAAAGGCAGCTTGCTGTTCCCTCAAAAAGTTGAACATAGAAATTCCAAATGACCCAGCTATTCCATTATTGGCATATACCCTGAGACAATTAGAACTTTAATATTTTGTTCATAGATAGTTGTGCTGTTAACTTAGGAGCCACACCTCTCTGGGTTGAATCCATCTCTGACTCCATGGGAGAAAGCTGGGGACTTTTCTCTCATGTGATTTAGAATTTATGAAACTCTCCAGAGGTCAGTGAGGAGTTGGTTCCTATTCCACAGTAATGTATTTTGTGGTCCTTTGAGAAATTTCTTCAGCTTAAATACAATCAAGCTACAGATTTTGATTTTGTTTTTATCAGCCAAGGCAAAACCATGATACATTTTGGTACACTGAGGTAATTTTTAGGAACCATAGTTGCATCTGATAGTGACTCCGGTTATTTATCCCCCCCATACTTATAGTCTTTATTTTGTTTTTTTCCCTTTTAATTTTCTTTTTTTTCTCTTTTTTAAAAAAGTTTGTACTGATTTATTTATAAAGTTTGAATACATTATTTTTCACATCACGTCTTTACCATTCCCTTCACCCCCCATTAAATTTTATGACCATATGTTTAACACCACCTCTACCCCCACCCATTTTCACCCATCTGCTGCTACTCTCCCCACCCTTAGATCCTCATTCTACAAAAATGGTTTTATACAGTATTTGTCCTTATGGGGCTGAATTAGTTCACTCCGCATAATGCTCTTCAATCCCACTCAAGTTAGATAGTAATTTACAAAATCATTTCTCCTGCATGCTGTGTAGTAGAATTCCTTTTTGTGAATACTATAATTTCTCAATCTATTCAGTTGTGGTTGGACATGTGGGCTGTTTCCATGTTCTTGCGATGGTGAATAATGTGACTATGAACAAAAGTATACAAGTCTTCGTTTGAGACTCATTTTCATTTTCTCAGGTTATGTTCCAAGCAGTGGAATAGCTGGGTCATATGGAAATTCTATATTCAGCGTTTTGAGAAAGTGCCAAACTGCTTTCCTGAGTAGTTGTACCATTTTATGCCACTTCTAAATTCAGGCTGAGGTATCAAAGACCTGCCACAGTTCTATGTTCTTATGTTCTCTATAAACAAAGTGAAAGAATGAACAAGATGAAAGTAATTAATTATTTAGAACAGAAGCCAGATAAGTATCTTCTATGAACTTATCACATTTGCAATATTAGTTCTATTCCAATGTCTAGCAAGTCAAATGAAGCTGCCTCATTACTGTTTTCTTCTCCACAATATGTTTAAATTTGTCCATCTTTATTTGAAGCTTTTAAAACTAGATATTGCTTGGCATTAGAAAATATGAAACTTGCAGAAGTAGTTTGAGATTACAAGAGAGTTGTTATTTAGATAAAGCAGTCAGTTCAACTATTAACCAAACACACGCATACTGTATGATACACCAATTAGCAAAAAAAAAAAAGCTTGTTTGGTTATATTCTGCTGTTTTATAAATGGTTTTAAATGACAAAAAGGACAAAGTCTTGGAGGATAATTTTTTCTCTTGTCCAAAAATTTTGAAATATACTATCCTTTAACATCTTTTCCACTATGGATCCATTCAGGTTTTTCACATTGTGGTAGAATATGACTTCCAGAAGTAAACTTATCCTGACCAATCAAGTGCCCATCAACATCTTCCATATTATGAACCATATCTATTATTTATATTAATCTTAGCAGTTAATTAACTCTATGTAGAAGTTCCAATAATCGGAATACAACGGTAACATAAACACAATCAATATAAAAGTTAGAAGAAGCTCAACACTTGATCTTGTGCTTCTTTCTCTTTTCCACTTATATACATGTACGAATAATACAAATAATTTCCTCCAATGCCAGTAGAAACATTTTTATTAATAAATGAAACAAAAGAAAAAATTTCCATCACCTTAATGACTGTTTTAATTCCTTTTATTCAGTAATAAAAATGGACCATTTTAGGCTGAAAAACTTTAAATAGCTTGAAATTTTTAAGTGATCAGAACTCTGGAGTGCATGATTTTGCTTCATAACACATTTTAAAATGTAGCATAGAATCTTAAATTGTTCTTGAAAAATCAGTGGTCAGGCATTGGTAATATCCTAACAATTAAGAAATGCTGACTAGGCTTTGGCAGTCCACAGGATGAGCAGGCCACATGACTAGAGAAATAGAATTTATTTGCATTTATCATCTGTAAAAGTGAATATTTTGAGAATTTAGCCTTATTTTTAAGTAATGTCAAGTTGAAACTGACTCACAGGTGACTCTTCAGCAGATTCTCGGAGGCGGTAAATTGCACAGAAGGAGATTATCCATCTTTCTTTAACATAGCAACTGTTGGATTTGAACTATGCACCTTTGGATTAGCAACTCAACTCTTTGAATGTATTAACAATAGAAGCAATTTTGAACAGAATAAGGTCTAAATAGATCAATATTTTAATTTAAAATATTCCTTGAGAATAATTGGTTTGGCGATTCTGCAGAGTTGGAAATAACCTCATGCTTAGAAAATTAAGGATATTCATAGACTCTTCAGATTTAAGTTTTTACTCTGAAAACATGAATAGTCTCTTACTTATTAGTGAGAAATACCATCCTTTTTACTGTGCCTTTGAAAGATTCTTTAACTTGTTTGTTTCGAAGTGTATAAATAAATGGATTAAGCATGGGGGCCACTGAAGTAGTGAGCAGACCCACCACCTTGTTAAGGGCAACTCCCTCCTCTGCTGAGGGTTTAATGTACACGAAGATACAGCTGCCATAGGTCATAGAGACCACAATCATATGAGAAGAACACGTAGAAAAGGCTTTTTTTCTTTGTTGGGCAGAAGGAAATTTTAGAATTGTGCTGATTATGTATGTATAGGAGAGAACCACACCCAGTAGGGTAATAATCAATGTTAGCACTGCAAACACCAAAATAACTTTTTCTATAAGAACTATATCTGAGCATGATATCAGTAAGATAGGATATGTATCACAGCCAAAACTATCAATGATATTTGAGTCACAGAATTCCAGCTGGAGACCCATGCTAAGAGGTGGGAGGACTATCAACAAGCCAGCAACCCAGCAGCAGAGAATAAGACTAGTGCACACTTTGTTGTTCATGATGGTCATGTAATGCAGGGGCTTACAGATGGCTACGTAACGATCATAGGACATGGCAGCAAGGAGAAAAAATTCTGTTGCTCCAAAGAGGACACCAAAGAATATTTGAGTAGCACAAGCATTATAGGTAATTGATTTATCTCCAGTTGTTAGGCTGTACAGGAATTTGGGAATACAGACGGTGGTGAATGAGACCTCTAAGAAAGAGAAATTTCGGAGAAAAAAGTACATGGGAGTTTTAAGATGAGGATCCAAAAGAGTGAGAGTGATAATTGTCAGGTTTCCACTCACACTCAAAAAGTAGGTGATAAGCAAAAATATCAAAAGCACAATTTGTAATCTTGGGTCATCTGTCATACCCAGCAGAATGAAAGTTGTTACTGTTGTATAATTTCTCATCACCTCGTTGTGTCAAATCAGGAACAATTAGACCTAAAAAGAAAATGAACATAAAAGCCAATGCATAGACTTAAAACATATTCACAAAGTGCACGTGGAATTTGTATGATACAATTTTAAAATTTAAATAGGAATCTGAGGCTTATAATTCCTTGCTGGAGAGTGTATTTATAAAACTGTCAAATGAAACACAAAGTGTTGACCATGCGTCTTAAATAATATGATATACTTTGGAACAATGCTTTTGCCAATGTTATAGATTATTCCATTATTTTTTATATTTTATTTTCCTTCCACACTCCATCTTTGTCTTACCACATCTTGAGTTTTGCCTCTAGTTTTATAAAAATGAAAAATTTGACAAGTAGTTTTTATTCTAGTTTTTGCTTGTATTTTGACATAAGCAAAGCAACTCCCAAGGGTTAAATAAAGTCTTTTCGAGTTAAAGTTATCTCTTATAAGGAACATAGTTAAAAAAAAAGGTGTATCTACACTTTAGTCAATGAAAGTTGTTTTTTTTTTTTTTAACTCATAGAAGAGTTAATAAAGTAGGGAGTTTCCACATAGCTACAAGAAGCAACTTCTTTGAATCTAAGTATAAACTTGTTTTGCCCTTTCATGGTGTTTCTGACCATAACAGGTCCCCAGAAGTATTGGTGTCTGTTACTTGTTCTCTCTCTGTAGGAATGATCTCTCAGAATTCTCTTAGCAACACTCAGCCATCAAAATGTGTGCCATAGCTTACAGACTTTTTGTCTATTTCTGTTACTCCCTTCCTCAAATCACCTCTCCACTCATTACTAACCCTTCTTTTAATCCTTCCTTGAGTTTTTAATAAATGTAGAGTCTCCAGGTAACATTCAAGAACAATCTGACCAAAGGAACCACTTTTTTGGAAATTTTGCAAAACCGATTTTTCTTGGCATTACAATTGTCAGCTCTGACCACTAATTTTATGAGGCACTTTCCTCTCTAATATTGATGCTTTCTCAGCAAACATATTAAATGGAGGCAGGGAAGGATTAGACAGATCCCATTCCTTCATGGCAAAGCTTGCATTAAGTCACTTTTATATTGTAAATATCTATTTTCAAATAACCATCCTGGAAAAGAAGTTTTTGCGAATTCTCTCTGAAGATACCGTTAGTTAAATATTTTGCCTTTTTAATTCATGGGAATTGATAGTTAAATTAGAATTTTAAGTATATATGATTTTCAGTAAAATCCTACCTATATAATGTACCCAATATATGTGTTCCTAATTAAAATATTAAAAACAATGCATTCTGTATCTTATATTTGTCAAGTAAACAATGAACGAACATTCTTTCATTGAAATAAATATTCAATGAGTTTCTATTATTTGCAGATCATAATGTTAGAAACTAGAGATCTAGTCATGAATAAATATCTCTCCAAGAGAGCTTTCAGTCTTCCAGTGAGAGATACTATTTTATTTTAGTGAATGTTCAGTCTGATAATTAGAGAAGATTACTGTGTAAATACAACTCTGGGTTTGGGGTTACTCCATACTTTTCCCTTGACAATCACTCCTGGTGATACTAGTAGCTATTTGTATTTTAATATTTTCTCTCAGTGTCTTTAGCATCTTTCTTCTCACCTACCATGTGACCAATGCCAGCTAAAGCTGATTCTTACTCATGACAACCTTATCTATGTTTAAGTAGAATTATGTTCCCTCTGATTTTCAGTGACCATTTTCTTTTCATATTGATTTCCATACCATTTTTATTTCTATAGTTCCTCTTGTTGTTATGTGTTTTTGAGTCACCTGTGACTCGTAGAAACCCTGTGTACAACAACTCTGAATCCTGCCTTATCCTGAGACAGTCTCACTGACTCTCACATACCTACTCCCAGTGCCTCAGTTACATTGTCACTCCATCTCATCTGGGGTCTTCCTCTCCTATGCTGTCCCTCCACCCTTCCGAGCATGATGTCCTTCTCCAAGAGCTGGTCTCTCCTGGACAGATGCCCAAAGTATATGAGACAGAACTTCAAACTCCTTGTCTGCAAGTAGAAATTTAGTTTTTCCTTCTCCAAGACAGACCTATTTGTTCTCCTGGCTCTCCAAAGTATGTCCCATACTTCTCACCGGCACCACCACTCAAAGATCCTCTACGTAGATTAAAATATCAACCTTTTGGTTAGAAGCTTAACACATTCATTTTTGTGCCTTATGACTTTGAACTTTCTTAAAATCTAAAACTGTTCCCACTTTTCAAAAGTCGTATTCTCTAATTTTGGTAGAAATGATTTGTGAAATAAATCAGATTAATGTCTATTGATTTAATGTGCTACTCTAATAACCTTTTAATTATTGAAGCTGGTTCAACCAAAATTACTTTTAATAAGCATTTAACCTTATGGTTGCAGAGGATTTAGATGAGGATGTGGATTATTTCCTCTTTGTTTACCTCAAACTATATCATTTTCTTTTCTTTTTTTGAATTTGCACAAGTTGCCCTGAGAACTACCTGTGTTATTTGAAACTACGATGTCATTGAATAAATAATGTATTTTACTCTTTCCCATAATTAGTATTATCAATTACTAGAGATTTCTGGTGGCCTAGTGGCAAGAAGCTGCACTGCAATCCTGAAGGCACCTTGGTTTGAGGCCACCAGCTGCTCCATGGGAGAAGGATGGGCAATCTACTCCCATGCAATTAACTACCCTGAAAACCCATCAGAGGATCAACTGTGGGTTAGTTCTGACTCTACAATATACAACCACAACAACATCAATGGTAACACTTGAAGACTTAACTTATGCATAGTTCCTTCCTGTCAGTAACACTTTGGGAGATATAAGAATGGTTGAGATTCAGTATTTTATCTTTTATTGACTCTCTATATGTTACTTTTGTTGTTATGTACCATTGAGTCACCTGCAATTCAAAGTGACTCTATGTACTGCCCTGTCCTGAGCTAGTCTCACTAATTCTGACACTCCAAACTCCATTATCCCAGTTACTGTATCAATCCATCTCAACCAGAGTCCTCCTCTCCTGCACTGTTCCTCCACTCTTCCAACATGATATCCTTCTCCAAGGATAAGTCCCTCCTGGCCATATGCTCCAAGTATGTGAGATGCAGCTTCAGAATTCTAGCCTCCGAGGGCTTCACTGTCTCCAAGACAGACCTATTTGTTTTCTTGCAGCCCATGGTACATTCAAGACTCTTCTCTAGTACCAGAACACAAAGGCATCTATTCTTCTTCTGTCATTTTAGTCATTGTCCAGCTCTCCTAAGTGTAACAAATAATTTTGAAGACCATGGCCTTGATTAGGCACACCTTAGTCTCTAGACTGCTGTTTTTCAGCACTCTGGAGAGGTCCCTGACAGCAGATTTTCCCAAGGCAATTCATCTTCTGATTTCCTGACTGCTGGTGTTAAGAGTGTTGATTGTAGAGCTGAGCAAACTGTAATTAATTATTAACAACCTCACTCTCTTCATTTATCACTGTGCTGCCAATTCGCCTAGTGGTGAGAATCTTTGTCTTCTTGATGTTGAACTTTAGTCCATATTGAAGACTACAGTTCTTGACCTTCTGCAACAAGCACTTCAGGTCTTTTCACCTTCAGTAAGCAAACTTTTGTCATCTACATAATGTAGATTGTTAATGAGTCTTCAGAGGATTGGCCTTCCACTTCTGAAATAAAACAGGCCTTTGGAAACCCTATGTACAGCCGAGCATGCTGAAACAAAAAACCAGACTTTCTATTTAATGATTATTTAATATATTTCAAGAATGGGAATCCCAGAACATTTAATCGTGCTAATGAGAAACCTATACTTGGACCAAGAGGCAGTCATCAGAACAGAACAGGGCAACACAAAGATTCTCACCACTAGGCGAATTGGCAGCACCGTGATAAATGGAGAAGAGAGTGAGGTTGTTAATAATTAATTACAGTTTGCTCAGCTCTACAATCAACACTCCACCAGGAGTCAGGAAACCAAAAGATGAATTCCTTGGGAAAAATCTGCTGTCAGATTTCAAAATTGAGAATGGTGTACGCCAGGAATGTGTCCTATCTCCATACCTTTTCAACCTGTATGCAGAGCAGATTATCCGAGAGGCTGGGCTCTATGAGGAGAAGCATGGCGTTGGAATTGGTGGAAGATCTATCAACAATCTGCGTTATGCAGATGACACAACCCTGCTAGCTGAAACCGAGGAGGACCTCATGCACTTACTGCAGA